TTAATATGGATATTTATTAAATGAGGTTTCTACTCATATGATTTTATGATTATTTGCATATTTGTGTAACAAAACTTTACACCAATGATTTATAAATTACGTTATGATTATTTGAATTTAAGTATTTTCCATTTTACATATACACTTCCATAAATTAAAAGGAATGAAGTTATTATAGTTAATATATGCAAATCGTTATAAAATCGTATATTTTCCTTTTCTTCCATTACATGCGTGCGATATATATAAATATATAAACTATGTTACATGCGTTATATGCGTCTCTAATTATTTTTCCCTAGCAAATTTCAATTGAACCTAAAGCTGCCACGTCAGTTTAATTGATATGCTAATTGATTGACAACTAAGCAAGGTTACTTTTTAATTAATACAAACTTGAGGTTACATCTTTTCAAATGTTTCTCAATTAATATATAGGGGATATATATATATATATATATATATATATATATATTTATATATATATATAAATATCACTAGGGTTTTCTCTAGGTGTACTTAAGATTTGCTACAGTAATGTTCAAAAGAATGTCACTGGCTTATTTTACTAAAATACTGTAATAAGAATTAAAAAGATAGAGACAAGAGAGGAGAAATAGAATGTAACAAGTGAATCTTTCAGATGAATCAAGGAACATCACTCATTACGATAAGTGACATTCTTTTGCATATTGTGGAATTGGAGAGAATCCCTAGACCCACACCACCCTATTAATCCCACTTCCAACTCTTTATTTTAAATTTTGAAAATTCCAAACATATTAATATTTTATACGCATTTATCTATATATCATGCAAACTCACTATAGTTTATACGCGTCGGTTTGGATATATTATATGATACTCTCCCTATAATAGTACTAGTTGCACCTTTTGAGGTGTTAGTAATAATTCAAGAGATTTTTTACAATATTAAGAGATAAGACATTAATCAATGCACAATACGATAAGAAGTAAACATATATAGTCCTTTTAACATATATAGTCCTTTAAAATAAAAATATCTAAGGTTTCAAACCAAATGATTATCGTATAGAAGTTTTACCATATTATTCGACGTCACAAAATCAAACCGCGGTTTTGGCAGCTACGATAGTCTTGGAAACAACATGCACAAATTTTCTGAAATTGCAGCTATTGTCCAAGCATGATTGAGAATGTGAGCATGGGAATTCAAAATCATCACACCACAAATGTCATGAATAGACTTGACAAAAATAATGTCACGAATAGAAACTTTGGGAATAAAATAAGAAGTGGGGTTAGAGTAGTGTCACAAGGAAAAAACTGAGAAGAAGGTTTTCGAGAAATGAAAGCTCCAAGAGGAAAGGGACAAGAGAGAGCATAAGTGCATGTGATCTTCCATCCCACTCACTCCCAACTCCAAATGGGTTCACATTTCTAATACACACTCATACATATACATACATACATACACACACTCATTTTCTTAGAGAGTTTATTACGTTACACATAAATATTTTAGTACATATATGTGTATGTATTGTGTGTTAAATATATATATTTATTACGATGATGCATGTGGGAAGCAGATTGGAAACAATAAGAAAAGCAAAAGCAAAAGCATTACCATAGGGAAACTAAAGAATTTTGTAGAACTTCAAAAGATTTTCTTTTCTCTAATTAAGTTACTGCCAAAAAATGGTATATATCTACAAAAAAAATTCTCAGCTGATTAATACATTTTCTAAATTTTGTTATAATTTTTCCCAGTTCGATGTTGCTTTGTCTTCTCAAGAACGCTCCTTTTCTTGTAATATTTGCTTTTGCCAGAAGAGCGTACTAATATATTCCATTAGTTTGTTGTTTTCTTAACAGTGTGCTCACAGTTGGATTGGCAGTTGATTCTCGATTCTTTGCATCACAATCAATACTAAAGTAAACATATTCAGTTATTATACCCCAAAAAATGTTTTGGTTTGTTTACATCCAAGAACTACAAAGACAAAGAAAGGAATGATGTTGTGCATCTAGTTTTGGATGATTATATGATTATAAGATTAAACAAAGAAGGGTTTTAAAATATATATATATATAATATATATATATATATATATGAAAAGGAACTACACTTTTTATTTATTTTCAGACAACAGCAAACAAAAAAAAAACTAACAAAATTGGTGGAATGGTGAAAAGATCTTTCTTTCTTTTCCTAGAAACAGGCCAACAGGGTCAAGAGAACTTATAAAAAATATACAATTTTTTTTATAGCTATTACAGGAATACTAAAACGGATTAAATAGTTCAATCAAAGTTTCGGTTTAATGTTTTGCAACTTCAAAAGTCTTAGGAAAATAAAACCAATATAAAATCAATAATACATATATGAACAAGATTATACTGTTTTAGCCTATCTGCAGTAAGCTCGTTCTCTTCTTTTGGGTTTATACCTCATGAAATCTTGTAATGATCCACTTGTTCCTTGCTAAGGTGCTAGTGCTTGATGTTTGCTGCAATCAGTGGAATATATATATCACTTCTTCGACAAATTCTTTTGATGCAAGCTAAGATCAACAAATAGCTTAGAAGCTAAACGTATAACGAGACAAAGAGCTAAATGCTAAGAAAGAAACATTGTATCACAGTATGAAAAAAACTGATAAACAGTTGTGAACGTATGATGTGTTACAACTTAAAAGCAGAGGAATCCAGAAGCTACATCAGCGCATTTTAATCTCTTTACACAGGAATTATGATTGTAGAGAGAAGAGAGAAGACTTTGTATGTCTACATCTTTAACACTTTTTCTTATTAGACTTGGATACCTTTTACAGCAACAACAACACACACACACACACACACACTTATAGTGTAGTCTTCACTAACTACTACACATGCCTTACATGCACAACTTCTTCTAGTCTATGTTCCTAAGACACTAGACTATTCTTACAAACAAGCTTTCTCTTAGACATCAACCGCTTCAACAACTCTATCTTAACAACTTAACTTAGTTAGCTTTTAACCAAACTAACTTACATTTATTCTTCTTGTTGTGTAACATCCTTTTACACAACCAAACTCACTTTCACTTCTCTTCTCCTTTGACTTCTTGCTGTCCACGTTGGTTGTTTCTTCTTCTTCTTCTTCCTCCGTTGCTTGCGCTCCAAGCTTCTTCTTCTCCTACGTGACTCATTGGTCACCTCTTCATTCTTCTTTCCTTGTGTGGCAAGCTCTCTTGCTTTCACTTCTTCTCTTCACTTGATTCCATCTTCTCATTGTAGGTTTAATCAAAGATTCAATTCCAACAGTCCATCATAAAGATTTTGCTGCAAGTAAAGCTTTGTTTAAAGAAGACTTCAGTGATGTGTTAGCTCTTTCCGTTTCTAATGACCCATCTCATATCTGCATCTAAGAGAGGTCCAGATTGTATTTGAGAATGCTTTTTTATTACCTCGTAACAAGTCCAATCATATGGCCATTTGGATTAACAATAGTACCACCACTACCACCAATATAAACAGCAACTGTAGTTTCAAGTATTGCATGGAACTCTGCAGCCTCTTGCGAAATGGATTGTGTATACAGTCTCTCCTTTGCCAGAACTACCATTGCTACAACTCCAGAACAAATAGAAGGATAAAGCCCTAATAACAGAACAGAAATATTGCAAAACAAAACTAACTAACACGAATAGAGAGAATTAATGGTTTTTTTTTCCTTTCATTGAACGAACATGTAACGCACAATATAAATTTGGGACTAATGAAGTCTTACCACATTTTGGTCCGAAGAGACCATGACAACATGCACCGGTGAACCCAAAGGAGGAGAAGAAAAGTTGGCAGCAATAGGCTAGCTGGGGCTTTCCGGATACATATTCTAGCTGTAGTAAGGCAAACATCTAATTGTTCCTTCAATATATTAGCAGGACACCAAGTCAACATCCACTTTAGAAGGTGAGATTGGCTTCTGTATCTTGATATTGAACATTAGAACCGGTTTGGTAAACTAAACCGTGACTAAGAACACTTCAATAAATTTTCTATAAAAATATTTATAGGTAAATTTACTTTACTTCATCTTTATTTCTTTCCCTACAATAAACATTGCTAATTTTCTTCTATAAACAAGAAAAAAAAATTCTATTTTTTTCCTCTATAATTAGAAAAATACTAGGTGACCCACCCGCACCCTGTGCGGGTATAAAAGTATAGTATAATGTTAAGACATGAGTATCTATTGAGTTCAAATATGGGAGTTAGTGGAACAAGTGAGAGTTTCAATGCTAAGACAAGATTTGCGCAAATCTCTAGAATGTAGTAGGGGTGGACAAATCGTTACTTTTTCGGTTTGGTTTGTTTAGTTCGGTTTTAATATATTTTTTTCAACTAAAATAAACCTTATTTATTCTGGTTCAGTGTAGTTTATGTCCAATTCAATTTATATTCAGTTCGATTTGTTTTTGGATCGGTTTAATTAGGCTCTTTGTCGCTTAATTTTTAAAAGGAAAATTATGTTTTAAAACATATACACATAAAGTATGTGAACTAAATTCAATATTAAACTGAAACAAAAACTAAAAAAGTCACAAAAGTATATAAGAATAAAACAAATGAAAGTTAACTAAAGTAAAAAAAATTAACATCATTAGTATGTTTTTAATAAAAGTTAACTATTAAAAAACAAATGTAAGAAAAATATACAGGAGACAGAGACATATTAAAAAATGTGATAAAAATCTCATAGATATCACAATCCCATAGAAAAAGTGATAAAAATTATGTTTTAAAACATATACACATAAAGTATGTGAACTAAATTCAATATTAAACTGAAACAAAAACTAAAAAAGTCACAAAAAGTATATAAGAATAAAACAAATGAAAGTTAACTAAAGTAAAAAAAAATTAACATCATTAGTATGTTTTTAATAAAAGTTAACTATTAAAAAACAAATGTAAGAAAAATATACAGGAGACAGAGACATATTAAAAAATGTGATAAAAATCTTATAGATATCACAATCCCATAGAAAATGTGATAAAAATTTAAACATAATTCATAAGTAATATAAAATAAGAAGAATAATTATGAATTAAAAAATTCCCATAGAAACCTGCAAAAAAGTGTCAATTGTTTTAGCAATTGTACAATATAAAATAATTTAATAGATTTCCAAATTTTATCGAGATGAAAATAATATTAAATTTGCATATCGCTATTGAAACAGACTGAAAAATGGTTTGTAGTCTGTTATTTATTTGTTAATAGAAAAACCAAACAAATGTATATATATAATAATTTACATTTTTAAGATCCATATATTTATATATATATATATATATATAATAAAGATAATAGTTTTGGCTTTTCTAAATCTCAAATCACCATTATATTTGTGGTTTTCTAAATGGATAATAGTTTTGAGTTTTTCTAACTCAAATCTCCATTATCATATAAATTTGTGCAAGTAACTGATAGCAAAATAAGGTAATCATCATATTTCCGAATTAACTAATTAGGAAATAAAGAACATACACATTTAATGCAATATCACATGTATATAGTTACCAATAAATGACATCATAAAAGAATAAGAAATTTACTTAATAGACATATATTTTCACGAAAATTTAACTTTTAAAATTTTCAGTTAAATGTATATTTAAAAAAATACTTTCTAAAAATATTATTTCGTTTAGAATTATAGATAATAAAAAAATTCAGAATATATCAAATTTAAAGAATAATTGCGAATTAATAATCATATTTTATCATTAAGTCTTATGGTTCCTGAAATATTTTGTTATAAAAATTCTTGTAAAGACATCTCTTGAAATATACAAAGTCTTATGGTTCTTGTAATATTTGTTTCCTTTTAATAAACATGAAGCAATTAAAGAAAGATATTAAAAATTGATTGTCGTAAATTTGCAATAATTAACATACCATTTAAGACAAGTAACTGACGGCAAAATAAGTTAATCATCGTATAAAGTTGCGCAAGTAAATTGATAATAAAATAAGGCAAGTTATTAATAAACGAATTAACTAATTAAAAGCCTTTACCAACAAGGTATATGTTTCCTAATACCATAATATGGTTATAAAGTTAAAGAATAATAAATAGTTTTGATTTTGATATATTGTAAATCTATAGAAATATATAATAATTATGTTTTATCACTTATATTTAATATAGAAATTTGTATATAACCGATTTAATTCTAACATTAGTATTAGAAATACATACAAAAATGTTACACATATCATATTCTAACTCTGAATTATATACATAATTTATTATGTGATAAATTGTATAAAGTTATATTATAATTGATAGAGAACTATATAGTTTATGATGACAAAAAAAAAAGATGACAAAAAAGAACTATATAGTTTACATATATGAATTTATAGGATATACATTTATAATATGATAAATTGTATAAAATCATATTTGAGTACTAAGTTGATAAAATGTATAAGAAGTTATACTAACTTTTATAATGAAATACTGATTAAAGATTTTTTTTCTTTAGTGTATAAGCAAATAATTATTTGAAAAACATAGAGAAAGTAACAAAGCATGAAACTTACATTGTAGTTTACGTGTTTTGGATGATATGATCATTTGAAATGTTCATGTCTCTGAATAACATGAATGTGAAGAGAGATTTAAGTACATATGGATCCACAGGAGGAAACGTCATAATCGTTGGTCTGCACATATAAACTAAAATTGTAAATTAAAAACCAATAGAAAAATACATATGAAAGCATTCTTCTCCTTCCAAGCTCTAACAAACAATCATTAAATAGAAAGACAATACCTATGAACATATTTAAAAAAGTAAGAATTATAATTCAAATAGATCTACGATTAATCAAATCATATAGAAAGATAAAAAAATTTACATGCATCGTGGTGAAATCGTTATAATAGGGTATCAGCATATAAACCAAAAGAAAAGTCAGCTCTGATGAAATATGTATATATAAAAGCTGAATGATAAATAACAAAAATAGTATCAACATAAAAAGTTCAGTGGCTTCGTTTCTGCTACTGTGAATATCTTATATATAGTAAATTGGTGGACATTTCTCAATGATTTAGCTTGCATGATAAGCTAATAAATATAATATTCTCTAATAAATTATTGAGAATATTATATATTCTATACGATTAATCATATGAGAAACTGTATATAGAAACTATATATTAGAAATTGTATATTAAATATTGATAAGGTAAGTTAATAATAACAAAAAACCTAATTAGATACAAATCGATAAATCACACTAAACAATGTAATCAATATGATATCAATATGATATCAAGAGTGAATTGTTTTCCGTATTTGTAATAAGAAAATTTATTAATACATATTTTATTAATTTATATTGTTGCGAAAGTAATATCTAATAAGGAAAATTATTAATACATGTATTAATTATTAGTAAGACTATTAAATTATTAGTGATCGACCAATTAATATTCTTGGCTTAATTTCATTATTGTGCAAGTAATGTAGTTTTTAAATAAGGTAAGACATTTAATATGAACTAGAGTTTCACCCGCACATCTGTGTGGATATATTTACCATTTTATAAATATATAACTAAAAATTTTAAATATATGATTTATATTTTAGTTTTAATTATAATAATATCTAATAACAAAATAAAAATTATTTATTTTATAAAAAAATGTTTATTTTTTTGGTAAGATCTTGTTAGATTTTTCAACAGATTTTGTTATATTTTAATTTACTTATTATTAATATTTATTTAACTATTAAAATATTTTGAAAATAATATATATTTGAATGGTTAATGTAACAATCAAATATATGTCAAATTAAATAATTAATGATATAGTCCAACATGACTTCTAAATAGTAGATAAATTTAGTACTTCTCTTTTAATAGAGAAGATTATTATATTTGATAGATTTAAAAATTAATTAAAATAGATTAAAATATTTAATGCGCATTTAATGAATTAATCAGAGAAAGGATCGCAAAAGGATATTCTTTGAATCGAGAAAACACAAAAGGTAAGTATTTAAATGGATTTCCTTTTTAGTAGTGTCGATGGTAAATATAAATCAAAAAAAATAAATTCTAAAAAATCAACCAACAGAATCGCTAGAATTCTTCTGAGAAGTGTTGTGTGAGTGCCACGTGTCAAATTGACTTCTCTTTTAATATATAGGAGGATATAGGAGTAATTGTTTTTATTTTAAAAATAAAAATAGCAAAATATATGGTCTAAATAAATATAAAACTATTGGGTCTATGTAAAACCAAATCGTTTAACAACTAAACAAACAGGTATAAAAACCATACAAAACCCTAGAAACCTGAGCTTTGTTTTATCTTCTACCAAACGCAACAAATCGCAGAGAGGGGTTCATAGGTCAGCTCTAATCGTCTTGCTTTTCAATCAACTTCTCCGTTAGTTTCCTTATCGTTTCTCTAGTACGACCACTCATAAAACTGTTCGTCGGTTTACAAAAGAGTGTGTTGTGAAGCTAAAGCTACAATTTGAGTCAGTTTTTTTTTTTTGTATTTTAATTTGGTTTTCAGAAACAGCTTCAAATTTTCAGAGATGGAGCCTCCTTCCGATCATGCACCACCAACTCATGCGTCTTCTTTGTCCTCAGGGTTAGAGTTCTTTTTCTTTTTGCCCTATCTTCTTGCGTATGATCTGCGTATGGAACCATTCGGTTCTTGAATCTTGAACCATTACTTGGGGTTTTTGAATCTTGGAGTTGTCATTAGCGCTTATTCGCTTAGCATATTTTGATGCTCTATATGGATGCAGGATAAGCGAGGAGGTTGAAAGAAGATACAACCTAATTAAAAGTGTCGGTGAGGAATGCAAAAACGATGATGAGCTGAGGGAACTTCTAGCTAAGAAGGCTACTCCTGTTTGCTACGATGGTTTTGAACCATCAGGAAGGATGCATATCGCTCAGGTGAGTAGAGTTATATTACGCTTTGTTTCATAGTATTGTTTAGTTAGCTTCTTCTAGTGCGTTTAAATATGACTATTTATTACCTTTTGACAGGGATTAATGAAGATTTTGAGTGTGAAAAAATTGACTTCTGCTGGTTGCCGAGTGAAGATTTTGATCGCAGATTGGTTTGCGTTTATGAACAGCAAGTCGTGGAGACGTGATTTGAAGAAAATAAAGGTTATTGGAGAATATTACGAGGAGATGTTTCATGCCCTGCATGCTGCTGGGATGATGGACAGTGAGAATGTAGAGTTTTTATGGTCATCCGATGTAATTAATGCTAAGGGAGATGAGTACTGGACTCTTGTCATGGACATTGCCTGCAGATACAGCCTCTCCGAAATAAAAGGGTATAAACTTGTTTTCATTTAACGCTTTTGATTTGATCTGAATTGGTTAATGGTGATGATTATTGACATTCATGTAAATGTTTTATGTTCCTATCAGATGTATGCCTATTGTGAGTCTTAGTGAGACAGATGAGCTCCGTGCAGCTCACGTTTTGTACGTATGTATGCAATGTGCAGACCCTTTGTTCCTCGAGGTATTTTTAATTGTATAACAAGTGCATCGAACTTTTGACTTTTATATGGTTGTTGTTGAAACATATTCTTAAACCTTATGCAGGCAGATATTTGCCAGCTTGGGATGGATCAGCAAACAGTAAATGAGCTAACAAGAGACTTTTGTGATAAGTCTGAGAGGGGAAACAAACCTGTCATCTTGTCTCACCGTTAATTTCTCCCAATCTGTTCTGTTCTCCTGATGAATCTTTTCAAATGTTTAATTCTTGCCATCTTTATTATTGATGTATTTGTAGATATGCTTCCTGGTCTTCTACAAGGGCAGACAAAGATGTCTAAGAGTGATCCTTCATCTGCCATCTTCATGGAAGATGATGAGGTAAAATAGCTAGTTTGACACTTCAAAAATCATTGAGGAGTTTATAGTTATTGAATGTTGTTTAATGACCGTCACTTGTAGGGTCAAGTTAATGAGAAGATAAAGAAAAAAGCTTACTGCCTTCCGAAGATTGTGGAAGGTAACGCATGCTTGGAATACGTCAAACACATCATTCTACCATGGTTCAGTGAGTTCACAGTCGAGCGAGATGAAAAGTACGGCGGTAACAAGTGAGTTTTTACTATTTTTTCTAGACCTTTTTTGAGTTTCTTCTTCTGTTCCCCCTTTGGTTAAATTTTCTCAGTATACAAGTGTGTATTTGGTCAGTTTATCTCGAAGTAAGTTGCTATCTTTAAAATGTCAGGACCTTCAATAACTTTGAAGACATTGCCGCTGACTATGAGAGCGACAAGTTGCACCCTAAGGATCTGAAGAATGCTCTAGCAAAAGCATTGAATAAGATACTGAAAGTGAGCATTTCCTTCTGTAGCAACAATACGGTTATAAATATTAGTTTTTTGAGTTTTCTAACAATTATAATCTGTTTTCTTACGCATATTGCAGCCTATCAGTAATCATTTCAAAACTAACGATCGTGCCAAGAATCTGCTCAAACAGGTCAAGAAAATTCTCGAAGAGGTAAAGGTTAAAAACTAACGCTCGTGATCATTTCAAGTCTCACCAATTACTTATTGCTTGGACATTCATATGGAGCTTCTGAATTTTCTCATTGTTTTATTTGTCATGTCTTATTCTAGGATGAAGAAAGCAACAGGTAAAAAAAATACTACAGAGCAAGAAGCTTTACTTACAAGTCAATATTTCAGAAATTTTTCTTACCTATAACACATTATAACCATATAGTTTCGTGTGCTCTGACAGACCTGATCCAACGGCTCCACCAAAGGAGATGAAGGCTCTTTCCGAATTACAGTGAGTAATCTTGTAGTGGTTTCTTTAAGTTAGGAATGCTCTATGTTTGTTTCCTTTAGTAACTTAATAGTTTCCTCCGATGATCTTAGATAGGTTAAACTTCTCCATTTTTTTTTGTAACCAAATAGGTTTGTGAGTTGTGATATTGTATTTTGAATCTTTTTTTTAGCTGATTAGCATTACTATTAATTCAGGATGAGCGAAGAGGTAGAGGAAAAATACAATATTGTGAGGAGTATTGGCGAGGAATGCATACAAGAGGATGAGCTAAAGAATCTTTTAGCCAAGAAGCCTATTCCAATCTGCTACGATGGTTTTGAACCATCAGGAAGGATGCACATCGCCCAGGTAAGATTATCATTCCTGTTATGCTTGCTTCGTACTCCCTCCGTTTCGAATTAATTGTCATTCTGGAGGAAAAATTTCGTTTCAAAATAAGTGTCGTTTTAAAGTTTCGAGACAAAATTTATTAGTTTTATATAATTTTCTATTTTTCTATTGGTTGAAAAATGGTTAGGTGTATAGGTAATTGTGTTTTTTTTTGAAAATATGTAAAATTAAATGTTTCCTTAATATGTGTGCAAAAACGTAGAATGACAATTAACATGAAACGGAAGGAGTATTGCTTAGAGAACGTTGTTTTTTAATTGTTTCAATTTTTTTTTTTTTTTGTTAACAGGGAGTGATGAAGGTCACAAATGTGAACAAACTGACGTCAGCTGGTTGTCACGTGAAAATTTGGATTGCAGATTGGTTTGCTCAATTGAACAGCAAGTTGGGAGGTGACTTTGAGAAAATCGAAGTTGTTGGTGAATACTTCAAAGAGATTTGGAAAGCTGGTGGGATGAACCCAAATGTAGAGTTTCTTTGGGCTTCAAAAGAAATTAGTAGAAGTGGCAATAAGTATTGGCCTCTTGTGATGGATATTGCTCGCAGATACAACCTACCGCGAATCTTGAGGTAATCACTTTGCCTCTTTTGGTTCATGTAGTTATGCAATGATAATGGTTCTAAATGAAATATGTTTTTTATAGGTGTGGGCAGATCATGGGACGTAGTGAGACCGAGGAACTAAAAGCATCGCAAATCCTTTACCCTTGTATGCAGTGTGCGGATATTTTCTTACTTGAGGTATTTCTATTATTTTATATGCTTTCTTGGTTCATATCAGGCTTCTATGATTGGTATTGATATTTATTGTTTGACATGTGTAGGCTGATATCTGCCAGCTAGGGATGGATCAGAGGAAAGTAAACATGTTAGCGAGAGAGTATTGTAAAGACATTAAGAGAAAAAACAAACCCATCATCTTGTCTCATCGTATGTTTTCTTTACATATTCTGCTCCTTTCAACGTGTTTTAAACTGTTGTTAAATGGTTTTGTAGATATGCTTCCTGGTCTTCTAGAAGGACAAGAGAAGATGTCCAAAAGTAATCCATCATCTGCCATATTTATGGAAGATGAAGAGGTAAGTAAATTAGTAAAACAGAGAAGAATTCTTTTTTTTTTTAGTAGGTGTGTGACTTGTGTAGTGATCTTTTTGTCTTCTTCTAGGATGCTGTTATTAAGAAGATCAACGATGCTCATTGCCCACCAAAAACTGTGGAAGGCAATCCATGTCTTGAATACGTCAACTACTTAGTTCTCCCACGATTCAATGAGTTCGTGGTTGAAAATGAAACGAATGGTGGTACCAAGTGAGTTGATGGAACTAAATCTTTGCATTAGATAGGATTTGATTAAATCATTATCTCAGACTTAGTTTTGAAATTTTTCCAAAACTGTCAGGACCTTCACAAGCTTTGAAGATATTGCTGCTGACTACGAGAGTGGCGAGTTGAATCCTGAAGCTCTGAAGAAAGCTTTGATAAAAGCATTGAATATAATGCTGCAAGTAAGTACTTTCTTTTGATGTTTTTGAGTCATTAGCTTTTATGTTTGTGAATGTGATATGATACTTATCAATACCTGTATATCTCAGCCTGTTCGTGATCATTTCAAAACCAATGAGCACGCTAAAAATCTACTGGAGCAGATCAAGGTAATCAAATGGTTTCCCTTTTTGTTTATGGTTTGATTAACCACATTGCTTGTATAATGACTTGAATCATCTTTGACTTTTCTTTTCCTGTTTTATTTAGGCTTTTACAATCACCAGGTGAAGCTGGCAGGTGGAAAAAGCAGAAGAACGTGTGTTCATTGTTGGAGCCTTTAAGCAAACAAATTTTAGATATACTGTCACAGCAGAGAAGTAATTAAAACTAATAGAATCCTACTTATACATCAGTTATTATATGACTTTCGAAAATTCGTGTTTACATGGATTTATTTGTTTATACATCAGTTATTATGACTTTCGAAAATTCGTGATTTCATGGATTTATTTGTTCTAGCTATATTCTGCAAAATTAAATCATTTTGAGAGAGTTTATTCTCTTTTTAAAATGATAAAACGATCAATTGTGATGTGGCAAATTATAAAGAGTTGATGGTAAAATGTAGAATTATATGAGAATTAATAGCCCTGAGAAAGACAGGGAGTAGGAAGAGTTTTCGAGTAGGAATATAGCAAAACAAATAGTAAAAAAAAAAAAGAGGCGCGAAAGTCAGATTAGGTGTAGGGTGGGTTCATGATATAGACGTTAGCATCAAGACTCAAGAGGCATTGTTCGTCTTCATACAGGTTATAAGAAAACAACTCTGGTTCTGTAGGCAGTCAGCACTTGAGGATCCTTTGTCTTCTCTATCTCTCTCTCTCTCTGGAGCTGTCTGCAACAAAACGACACGTCATAAAGCTCTAAGTATCACAGAGTCACGTGAACACGAAAGCCAAAACCAAAAAAAAATTCTAAAATATTTCTTGGAAATTATCATTTTTACTAGTAATAATAGTACAAGTTTGTCAGAAGTTACAAAAGAGTTCGCACGTGTGCAAATTTTGTTAGATATGGACTTAAAGTATTTGTCCAGTCAAAATAACAGAGGCGAAGCGTTGTCACATTAAAGGAAACACAGTTCTTCGTTTTCATTTTTTGGTCGTATTTTTACCGACTTTATAAACAAAAAAAATCCTTTCCTACAATATCCTTCTTATGCGTTATATTAAAATTTTCCATTTTCCACAGAAATCCAGCTCTTAATTCTTACTCTCTTAGTAAGAATTTATAATATCATATTATAAATAAATCAGTCTGAGAATGAGCAACGGAATATATGTTTCCGACTAACTAATATACGTGCAAAAACAAGTGTGGAAAAAAATCTTTAGTAATATTATTGTACTACGTAAATATAAATTGAAGTTTAAAAATTATAACTTAACTATTTCAAAGTTTATTACCCCACTACTCCAGTACTACTAAACATAAAATAGTTTGGAAGAATTTGGTCTATCGTAAAAAATTAGTCCCTTAATTCTATGAGTGATTTAGTGATTTGCCCTAAAATGAGGCTCAAATTGGTGAAGTACCCAACGAATGACATATAGGGCCCGAGAGCTACCCTGACGATGGGGAAAAGACGGAACTAACCTCCTACCAACGATTTGATTTTCGGCGCTTGTGTCAGTCGACTGACACAAGATATCCACGCCGATTCTAATAGCTGCCTACCCTACTCTGAAACCTAGGACGACTTGTGTGCAATTAAAACACGTTTCCTCGGATATCCGGGATTTCTGTTTAAGCGCAACATCCTAAGCTACCATGGAAAAGTTAAGTGTACGTAATACCATACTAATTTGAAGATAAAAGAAGGTGGAGTTGGGTAAAACTTTAGTTTTCAGAACCAAAAAAAACTGTGGGTGAAAGAGGGAGAACGAAAGCTGTGATTTGGAGTTTGTAGAAGATAAACTCAAGAGACAGAAATCGTTTTTTCTCGTAGTGTAAGTTGTAAGCTTTATCTATATACCCAAACAAGGGAAGGTTGTTCTATATCCTTAAAATTCTTGTGTTACTGATAATTGTAATGTTACACCGTAACAGGTTAGGAAGATGAGGCACCAAGTTCGTGTCGTTGTTGGGGACTGGGAACGAGGCGCTCAAGGCGCATGGAGGTTCAACGTGGATAAAACCATGATAAGAGCTGACGTCGAGCTTAAGGAGAACGAGAGTTACATCTCACTTGTTGGTATGGTGAGGGAAAAGTTCAACGTAGACCCACTGTATGGAGTCAACGCCCCTGTGTTGCTGACTTACCACTACCCAGACCTTGAAAAAGAGCCTGAGGAATACTCAGCACCACCCATCGAAATCAATGAGGACGAAGACGTGGCTGTTTTCATGGCTGTAAGGGTTGACAATGTGTGGCAGGAGCTGTATGTCACATTGGGTGGAGAGGATGTCTACAACTACAGGAGGCAGAGGGAGGTGGAAGATGGAGTGACAGCTTCAGAACATCAAACTCAGGCGCGCGGGTTAGTGAGCATCGCAGGTAAAATTGTATTTCCCCGGTAAAGAAATATTTTCCTGTAAATGTTTTTTGTTTCGACAAAGAAAATACCTCGGAAATTAGTCTTCCCGGTAAAATAGTAATTTAGCAGCTAACGACGCTGTTATAGGGTAAATATATTATTAACTTTGAGAAGCCAGTGGAAAAACAAGGGTAAACATGTATTGACTGAGAAATTTATTTTGGTTTATGTTTGCAGATCTTACTGCTAGAGGGTACATGGTTGTGTACGGGGAAATACTAAGAGGAATCTGCACGGCAGATGAAATGAGCATACTGGAGCAAACCGCCCTTGGGTGTGGACCAAATGATCTTCAGCTTGACCCGACAATGACAGTGAACCTAGAATCGTCAGAGGGTTCTTCTGGCATCCCGCTTAACCAGGCGGGGGCAATACTAACAGGGGCTGCTGTAAGTGTAGGAGAGGATACCAATGCGGAAGTTCAAACTGAGGAAATCACCTTCGCGTTAGGTAATACATTTTTTTAAGAGGAAAAAATCAAATTATACGTTAAGGAGAAAGTTTTATGTAACCGGAAGGTGTGACTGCTAATTATTAGGGGCAGAAGGCAATGAAGTGGAGGAGATAATACGGGACAAGGGTAAGGGAGTAATGATGATTGATGAGTCGGTAGAGAGACCATTTCAAATTGGAGTTTCTTCAAATTTCCAATTTGGAGATCAACTGCTGTCTTGGGGGGATGCGTCAAACATGAGTAATAATCTTAATTTTTAATAAATATTTTATGTTAAATAAATCGTTAACCGGTAAGGCAAAAGTTATGGGATAACATAAACATTATCAGGTACTGGCTCAGCGACGCAGCTGTCCCTAGCACTGGGAGGTGACGAGCCTGTTGCTGAGGATGACGTTTCATTGGCGTGGATGCGAAACTTGAGTCAAGAGTTTGACGAGGCGGGGGGTAGCAAATGTTATGGAAAGGGCGTGAAAGGAAANTGCTGAGGATGACGTTTCATTGGCGTGGATGCGAAACTTGAGTCAAGAGTTTGACGAGGCGGGGGGTAGCAAATGTTATGGAAAGGGCGTGAAAGGAAAGGATACTACTAGGCTGCCTTTTTGTGGTATTGAAGTTGGAGGTATGAAAATAATTTTACTAGTGGAGGATAAGATGATACATTCTAACAATATGACATGGCACGTATTTAGTTTACGGTTAAACTGTGAAGTACCAGAAAACTAAAATATTTACTGAAATTGAAAAGTTTACCGTCATATAGTATGCTGCAATAAATACGATGTTGTTTGTGCTTATCAGGACGTGTGGCAGATGAGCCAACAGGAGAGCTTTTTGTGGGGAAGATATTTGAGAGCAGGGAAGCCTTCAAGCTCCATATGACCCTACATGCAATCACAAACAAGTTTAGGTTCCTCATCAAGAAGTCAGAGCCAGGCAAAATGGTACTACACTGTAGGGGAGCAGCGTGCGGATGGAGAGTGTATGCGACGAAGATGGGGGGATCTGCAAGCTTCGAAGTGAGAACTTTAGATAACATCCACACGTGCTCGGTGGCTGATAGGTGGGAGTTCAGACATCATGCAAACTCCAAGTTTGTTGGAAATATGGTTAAGCATAGGTATGGTCCTGCAGCTGGTGTTGGACCAAGACCAGGAGCTATAAGGGACATAATAAGGCACGACCACAGCGTCCCAATATCTTACTGGAAGGCTTGGAAGTCAAGGGAGCTTGCGATTAACCAAGGGGTGGGTGACGCGGTAGCGTCATACCAAAGCCTACCATCGTATCTGCTAACGTTGCAGACGACTAACCCAGGAACTGTGGTGGCGTTGGAGACAACGATAGCGGCAGAAGGTGCGCAGAGGTTCAAGTACCTCTTCTTCGCCTTTGGCGCAAGCATTGAAGGGTACCCTTCCATGAGGAAGGTAGTGATTATTGATGGGACACACCTAAAGGGGAAGTATGCTGGATGTCTGCTGACTGCTAGTGCGCAAGACGGGAACTACCACATTTACCCCATCGGGTTTGGAATAGTGGATAGCGAAAATGATGAGGCTTGGACATGGTTTTTCAGACAACTATCAGCTGTAGTTCCTGACTCTGAAGAACTAGTATTTGTCTCTGATCGTCACAATTCAATTTACGCCGGGATAAGACGGGTTAGACAACAAATCCTTATTATTTACCGTTAATCAGATTGTTTCCAGTTATATTAAATTTTAACGGGAAACNACAAACGAGGTAACACCTAAGGTTACCGCAATCTTGGCGCGTAATTTCCAGTTCTCAACGGGATTCAATGTCCGGCATATCATTGAAGAGGAGTATGAAGTTCGCGATAGCTTGGGGATGTTTTACCGTGTTGATCTGAAGAGGAAGAGCTGCTCATGCAAGGAATTTGATAAGCTCCGACTCCCTTGTGTCCACGCACATGGTGCTGCGCTAAACAGAGCTCATAAGGTGGAGGACTTAGTGGCTGTCGAGTACAGCAGCGATTACTGGAAGAAGGCGTATGAAGGTGGGATTAACCCGGTGAGCATTAACCACCTCGACATAGGTGGATCCGACTCCTTCAAACTGCTCCCGCCAAACACACGCAGGCCTCCAGGAAGGCCGAGGAAGAGCAGGATACTATCTGCAGGAGAAATAAGGGTAAGGAACATTAGGAAAAATTATTTTTACCTGTAATTAAACGTATTAACAGGAAATATTATTAATTCCAGCAATCAGGTCGT